TGAACAAGAAGACCCTCAGCAGGTGATGATGGTGTGATCTTGGATTTCCCCAACCCCAGAATTGTTAGGAAAGAAATTTCTAGTGTTTTCTTTGTGTTTTTGTTTGTTTGTTTGTTTTGCAGTATTGTGATTCTACTGTGTTCTTGGGGTTCCTAGTTAAGCACTCTGCCACTTGAGCCTCACTCCCAGCTAAGATTATTTTTTGTAAAATACCCCAACTTGGGTGTCATTTTATATGCACACAATATGGACTAACAAAATCTGAATGGAAGAAAGACATGTGGGCTTTGTAACAAGTACACTGACTTGGAAGTGGCTTTGGAGCTGGGCTATGACACATGCTGGAGCAGTTTTGATATGATTAAAGCAGGAGCCTTTGTTGCTCTGAATCAAATATAAATGGCAATTCTTATGAGGCCCAGGCAGAAGAGCTATGAGGATACCCTGAGTCCTCATACATAAGTGGCTTTGAGTAGAATGTTGGTGGAGATACAGACAGCACAGGCCACTCCCAGGAGGCCTCAGATTTTGGAAACTGGGATGGAAACAGCCATCCTTATTACCATGTGGCAAAGCATTTGGCTGAATGATTTCTGTGTCCTAGAACTTTATGGAGTGGAGAACTTCCAAGTGATGAAGGAGGATATTTGGTCAAAGAAATATGAGCTGCAGTGTTGGTTAGGTGACGGCTTCTCTTTCTGGCTTCTAGAAAAAGGTAGAAAGAAACCACATAAAGATGGATGTTAAGCTAGGTGTGGTGATGCACACCTGTGATTTCAGCACTTTGAGGTCATCCTAGGCTACATTGAAATACCCTGCCCACCCCCCAAAAAATTCTGATATCCAAGGGTAATAATAAGGTAAAGATCTGAAAACTCTCAGCCTAGCTGTATGTCATACCAAGTATTGTGTTCAAGGAACATTCTTAAGGTGATTTTTGTGGATAGAAGGAAATCACAGATTCTTACAACATGCAATGGAAGAAGAGTTTTCCTTCTAATTCTTAGCACACTCTGTCTTTCAGGACTGAGAAGAAAACAGAACTGTTGTTCTCTATCCTGTGCTCCCCTTAGACTAAAATTCTCCTCCATTCTATTTCTTTGTGTCTTTGAAGCTTAGTCCTTTCCCATAGACCATTACCTTCCTGTGGCCATTATTTTCAGACCTCTTCCTAGCAACTTTTTTTCTTTCATTAAATTTTGGCCTCAAAACACACACACACACACACACACACACACACACACACACACACACACACACACATAAACACACACACAAAATTGCACTCAATATCTCCATTTCCTTCTACACTCCTGTAATTCTCAGGGCTCACATTGATTTGACTTCTCTGTCACTTCTTTTCACAGTAACCTTTTCATCTCTACCCACTCCCAAATCCCACATGCATATACCCTTCTCTTCCACTACAACTTGCTAGGGTTTTGGTACTTCTCATTGTAAGACATTTGGTCCTTAGATCCCATTCTTATTCCTAACACTTTAGCTCATTTGTCCTCACGCTTCCCTTCTTTTCAGCTTACATTTCATGATGCATTATTACAGTTTCTCTCTTCCATATATACTCAGTGCTCTTGCCCTCTTTCTCTCCATGCTGTATGTTTTTTAAAATTTAATCAGTGGAGTGACTTTTCTTGCCATTTCCATGAAGGGCACCCTACTGAGGACAAGAATCAAAATATCAGACCTCAAATGTTTTCTTGACATGACTCCATCATTGTTTTTGCAACATTTTAGAAATTTCTTTCTTCCTCATTTCAGCTGATTACCCAATGTCATGAACATTGAAATCAAAGGACAGGAAATTTCCTTCATCCTCAAAATCGCAGATCCAAACCAATTTGCAACAGTACTTATCCCCTTCTTTCTCACTATTAAGGTGAAGGCAATATTTCTTCCTTGTTTAAATGTTGGTGTCTCCATCCATAATCCAGATGTCAGCCCCTCTCACCTTATAGTGTCATTGCTGCATTGCTTCTACTCTTTCCCCTCATCCGCATTTTCCTAAATTAGCTTTTCAACCTCCCATCCTTGACTCAGCAGCCCTACATGCCCCCTTCCCCAATCCTTTGCCAAGCCAACTGGTGGCCTGTAAATGCTATCTCCACATTGTCACTGAATTCATTCAGTGCTCTCAATGGATTGTATTCTTGCCACTGTACTAAAACTGCTTTTGTCAAGACCACCAACTTCATGGACCCAATTCCAAAGATTAATTTCCTGCTCTTTACTGAATACCTAACAGTATCTCAGGGCATATTTAGTATAACAGGACCCCACTTCTCTACAATTGCCCAATGCAAAGAATGTTTAAATGGGAGTACCATGGTTGTACCTCAGACTTTGTGTCAGTTCCCAAGATGCACATTTCTGTTAGACACCTCCTGGTAATCACAGGCCAGGACAAGGGCCTCTGCTCTTCTCTGACCTCCTAATTCAAACATAGACTATCCTCACTTCTAATTCAGATGTAAACTTGACTATTGAAGATCTATCAATATAGGAGATAAGGTAAAAGTTCAGGAATAACTAAAGTCCATATGGATTCTAGGAGGCCAATACTCCTGTGTGTAGACATGACTCATCAGTAGCTGGAAGTTTCCAAAGTTGATTCTTCAGGAATGGTTTGAGGTCCCACTTTACACATTAGGAATCTCCTTTGGGCAGCTAATGACACCAAAACATAAGTGCTTTCTTTAATTCTTCCTCAAGTTACGTTGAACTACAAGAAAGAGTCCACACTGGAGAGAAACTCTATGTGTGTAAGCAGAGTGGGAAACTGTTCTTGTTTTTGGCTCAAGTTTGAAAACATGAAAAAATTCACAGTGGGGAGAAACCCTATGTATGTAAGCAATATGAAAAAGCCTTTATTTCTTTAAGTTACTTTTGAGCAAATGAACAGTGTCACGGTGGAGAGAGGCCCTATGTATGTGAGCAATGTGGCAAGGCTTTCATTTGGCAGCATAATCTTCAAAGACAAAAACAAATCCACACTGGTGAGAAACCCTGTGAATCCAAACCATGTGGAAAACCCTTCATTTGTTCTGCTTCCCTTAAGAGACATGTACAGACTCATGCAGGAGAAAATTCCTACATACCAAATACAGGAAGACTTCAATAACAGAGTGGCTCAAGTGGTGTTAGTATACCTGCCTAGCAAATGTGAGGCCCTGAGTTCAAACTCCAGTACCTCCAAAAAATTAAAAGAAAGCATTACCTTTGCCAGGCGACAGTGGAGTATACCTGTAATCCTAGTTACTTGGGAGGTTGAGATCATGGTTTGAGGCCAGCTCAGGAAGATAGTTTGAGACCCTTATTTCCAAAATAAAGCAGAACAAAATGGACTGGAAGTATCCTCAAGTGGTAAGGCACCTGTTCTGGAAGGTCAAAACCCTTAGTTCAAACACTAATCCCACACCCCAAAAAAAGTACTAGCTTACAGAATAAGGTAAGTGAATCAAATGCAATGAAAAATGCCTCAAATATAATTAACTGAACATACAACCCTGCACACAAAACCAATGGGGCAGGAAGGAGGAGTTGGGAATATTCTGTCATCTCTGCCCTGCTGCTGACACAGCACATTGTTACTTTAAGCTGGATTTAGAGTAGTTGGAAATGAACACTACTACCACTGGGGAATCACTACAACAAATTGGAGGGAGTCTACTTGATATCCTGATGGAGCAGAGAAAAGGTAGTAACGAAAAATGCCCATGTATATAAGATGTGAATACAGACAGCATGGGAGGTTCAAAAAAATCAAGGGCAACTAAGGTCACTAGGCAAGGAATTGTCTCCTAAGTGGGGAGATAAAGAGATCAGCCCAGGGAATTATAACTTACTAGATCAGATCAGAAATCCACAAGGACAAGAAGGAAATGAAAACTTGAACTGTACCTGATTAACTGCTTATGTCTAATGAGAGGTAAAAACTAAAGGAGATCTAGTTTCAGAGGACACCATAATTTGAAATTTTCACCTCCAGAAATCCAAACATGTTCTCACAGTAAATATTAGACAGCAATTATTTCATAACCAGCAATGGAGGGACTGGAATCCTGGTTCAAATGGTAGTCACCTGCTCAGCAACCATGAAGCCCTTGGCTCAAACACCGGTACCTAAAAAAAAGAAAAAAGTGGTTCGCCAGTGGCCATACCTGTAATTCTATATACTCAGGAGGCAGACATTAGGACCAGCCCCGGGCAAATAGTTCAGGAATCCTTCTCTCAAAAATACCCAACACCAAAAGTGGTGGCAGAGTGGCTGAAGTTGAAGAGTTCCTGCCTAATCAAGCATTGAGTCCTGAGTTCAAAGCTTATAGTACTCAGAGTCAAAATTTATTGTATTTGATTTGTTTTTTATATAGTTAAAAATTAATTAAATTTCAATGTTTGGGTCATTTCTCTCCGCCCCCTGCCAAAATTTATTGTATTTGAATCAAAGTTCCTAGTATTCAGAGAACACAGTGTTATGGAGAAATCTAATCCAAGAGATGAATATACTAGAAGAAAAGAAAGAACTAAATGTAACAATGTAAACTTCTACTTAAAGAGAAACTGTGAAAGAAGATGGAGACAATGGTAAATCAAGTACTCAGAAATAATGATTAGGCTGGGCACTGATGCTCATGTATGTAATCATTGCTACTAAGAAGGCAGCGATCAGGAGGATCATGGTTTGAAGCCAGCCCATGTAAATAACTCACAAGTCTCTATCTCGAAAAAACCCATCACAAAAAAAGGGCTGGTGGAGTGGCTCGAGGTGTAGGCCCTTAGTTCAAACCCCTGTACCACAAAGTAAATAAATAAATAATGACTAGGAAAGATATCAATAACATTACAGACAGGAAATCAATAAAACCAAAAGCTGGTTTTCTAGAAATATCAACTGATTAGGCAAGATAACTCAAAAAGAACAGAGCAGAGGAGACACCGCCTCGTGGGGATTTCTGGCTCTTTTCTCTTTGCCTTAAATTTGGGTGTCTTTTATGAATAATCAAAAGCAGCAAAAGCCAACGCTATCAGGCCAGCATTTTAAAACCAGAAAAAGAGATGAAAAGGAGAGGTTTGACCCTACTCAATTTCAAGACTGTATTATTCAAGGCTTAACTGAAACTGGTACTGATTTGGAAGCAGTAGCTAAGTTTCTTGATGCTTCTGGAGCAAAACTTGACTACCACCGCTATGCAGAAACACTCTTTGACATTCTGGCGGCTGGTGGAATGCTGGCTCCAGGTGGTACACTGGCAGATGACATGATGCATACAGATGTCTGTGTGTTTGCAGCACAAGAAGACCTAGAGACCATGCAAGCATTTGCTCAGGTTTTTAACAAGTTAATCAGGCGCTACAAATACTTGGAGAAAGGTTTTGAAGATGAAGTAAAAAAGCTATTGCTGTTCTTAAAGGGTTTCTCAGAGTCAGAGAGGCACAAGCTGGCTATGTTGACGGGTGTTCTTCTGGCTAATGGAACACTTAATGCATCCATTCTTAATAGCCTTTGTAATGAATGAGAATTTGGTTAAAGAAAGGGTTTCAGCAGCTTTTGCTGTAAAGCTCTTTAAATCATGGATAAATGAAAAAGACATCAATGCAGTAGCTGCAAGTCTTCGGAAAGTCAGCACGGATAACCGACTGATGGAACTTTTTCCTGCCAATAAGCAAAGCATTGAACATTTCACGAAATACTTTACTGAGGCAGGCTTGAAAGAATTTTCAGAGTATGTTTGGAATCAGCAGACCATAGGAGCTGGTAAGGAGCTCCAGAAAGAACTTCAAGAACAGATGTCCCATGGTGATCTATTTAAGGATATAATTTTATATGTCAAGGAGGAGATGAAAAAAATAACATCCCAGAGTCTGTTGTTATTGGGATAGTGTGGTCGAGTGTGATGAGTGGAACAAAAAAGAGGAGCCTGTAGCAGAGCAAGCCATTAAGCACTTGAAGCAATACAGCCCTCTACTTGCTGCCTTTACTACTCAAGGTCCGTCTGAGCTGACTCTGTTATTGAAGATTCAGGAGTATTGCTATGACAACATTCATTTCATGAAAGCCTTCCAGAAAATAATGGTGCTTTTTTATAAAGCTGAAGTCCTGAGTGAAGAGCCCATTCTGAAGTGGTATAAAGATGCACATGTTGCAAAGGGGAAAAGTGTCTTCCTTGAGCAAATGAAAAAATTTGTAGAATGGCTCAAAAATGCTGAAGAAGAATCTGAGTCTGAAGCCAAAGAAGGTGACTAAATTTTGAAACCACATCCTCAGTAAAGCAAACAGGAGTTGTAGATAAAATGTCATGTATCATGTGTCCTGGTTCTTACATCTTCCTACCTCCCTGTATCAAGCATGATATAAGGGCTTTCATGGCAAATTTTATTTTAACTGTTTCTATGGTTATTGGAAATGTTGGGTTTCGTTTCTAAAACCATGTTTTGAGTAGCTACAGGAGCTATAATTTGAATCTAATGTTGCATTAGTTTTTCAGTTACCTTCTACCTCCTGTATTTTCTATTGTAAAAATGTAATTTAAGGCCTTCCACAATGAACAGTTCACTTTATTCCCTGGGTTTTCTATATAAATAGTTTTCAAGATATGATTTGGTTAAAAATGATTTGTTATAAACTTTCTGTTTTGCAAATTAAACTGTAAAATATCCAAAGTCTCAAAAAGCCATGATTTGTGTGATGGTTTGGTACACCCAGAGCCCTGTTCATCAATGAAAATCTCCTCTACAATAATTGAATTCATTAGCATATATTCTGAGTATTTGGACCATTACTTATGTGTTAACATTTTCTTATATTTTTAATCCCAGCTGTCCTTAAGTTTTAACCCTGAATGTCTTTAAGTTCAGTTGTTTGCTCTCTGGTTTGTTATCCTTAGTGAAGGAAAGAGACAAACTGAAGCTTGAGAAATCAAATGTGCCAGAGGTACTGGGAAGAAGGAAGTTGAGCTTTTTCCCATTGAGAAACTTCTGCATTCAGTTGACTCTTACCATAGGCAAAACAAATGGGTATTCTTTTCATACAAGCATTTGCAAATACACCTGAGAAAAGTCTTATCAGTTAAAAAAATTTTAATTAAAATATTTTATGCTTAGCATACACTTAGATTGTTAAGAAAGGACTTCTAAAGGAGTATGACTAAAGGAAATGACTGATGTACTGACTTCAGTAAAAAGGCAAATATGACTTACATTTCCTAATGGCTTAGAGTATTTGTTGTAAAGAATGAAGTGCGATGTAACTATGTATTCCCACTTGGTTGTACTGGACTGCCTTCATTCTGTTAACATTCAGTTTATGACTCAAGCATCTGGCTACAAACTGAATTTCCAGTTTTTAATTGCCATGAGCCAAATATTATAAATTATCGGTCCACTTACTGTAATGGCTGCCTTTAATTTTCTCTTTTCTTGTTGCTATCCATCTGTGTATGTAGTCAGTAGGGAGGAAAGTGTAGCCAAATTTTGGGGTAGAAAGTCATGTTAAAAGTGAGCATTCTAATTGGTGAGAGAAAATAGTCTCAAATAATGCCACCAGAGACCAAGTGGAAATTCCCCCTTGTGAAGGTACTATTCTTAGTAGCTAAGAATTTGGTGTTTAAAAGTTCTTCTTGAGGGAAAGACATGTAATATAATTTGAAATAAAGGTATAGTAACCTTAAGAGCATTATAACTGATAACATTGTGAGTGGGGTGAATTTGTTAAATGAATGATTTTGATGGTTTTCATGCACAGGCAAAATGTATTCATTAGATTTCTATGTAATGATTTGCTTTTACTTTGTAATTTGTAGTCCTCAAAAGACTTTTTTTTAAAATAAAAGTCCATCCTTAAATTAAAAAAATAAAAAAGAACAGAACACACAAATTACTAATAGTGCTCATGAAAGGAAAGCTGCTAGTAATAATAGTATAGACTTGAAAAGGACCCTAAAGGGAAATCATGAATAATTCCATGCCCATAAATTTGATGATGTGGACAAAATGAATGAATTAAAGGAAAGAAGCCATCTACCAAAACTTATACCAGGAGAAAGAGCACACATGGAAGGGTTTACAGATATGCTCAAATATTTAAAGCACTCCAAGAAACCATGAGGCCCTGAGTACAAACCCCACTATCTACAAAAGAAGAAATTTTAAAATACAAAGTAAAGTGATAAGATTCCCCACCCCAAGTTCATGTAGGGTAAAATTTGTACTGTGAGAATTGCTATATTACTGAAAGGGATTTACAGTTTCCATGCAACTCTATTGAAATCCCAATGACACTCCTTACAGGAATAGAAAAAAAAAATCCAGATTCGTATGGAAGCACAAAAAGCCCCAAATTGAGAAAACAATCCTGAACAAAAAAAGCAATGCTGCTAAAAAAATGATGTAGGTATCACAATACCTGACTTTGAATTTATAATATACAGCCACAGTAACAAAAACAGCAGGTATGCTTACATATATATAATAAAATGTAATATTATTTATCCAATAAGAAGAATGCAATTACGAAACTTTCATGAAAAATGGATGTAGCTGGAGTTCACCATGTTAAGCAAAATAAGCCAGACTCAGAGACATAAGTCGCATATTTTCTTTTCGGTACTGAGATTTGGATTAGGGGCTACACCTTGAGTCACTTCACCAGCCTTTTGTGATGGGTTTCTTAGAGGGTCTCGGAACCATTTGCCCAGGTTGGCGTCCCACTTCAATCCTCCTGATCTCTTCCTCCTGAGTAGCTAGGATTACAGACATGAGCCACCGGTGACGGGCTCACGTTTTATATCATACGTACTATCTAAAATTTTTACATGAATTACAAGGGGGGCTGTTTAGGATGGAAACCATTGGGAAGCCGGAATTTGGTGAGAGGGTGAATATGAACCAGTGCATAAGCATCCATGAAAACAGCACAATGAAACACATTAATTCTAAAATGCAGGGAGGAAGGGAAAGGATGGTAAGGATGCGTACTAGAGGGGGTGAAAGTGATGAAAGTGCATATGTGTTCTATGATAAAAGCGCAATGAAACCTCCATGAAGAAGTGATGTACACTAATACATGTCTACACTCAAGCGGAAAACCACAGATATCTATCTGTCTGTCTATCTATCTACACATCTATCTATCTACATATACATAGGCAAATTTAAAAAGAGGGAATAAAGGAAACACCTTGGAGCAAGAGGTATAGCTGGTAATACAGGTCTGACTAGCAGGAGGAGGAAAACATGTAAATTCTTCCATGGCTATGCCAGTTTATTTGTGGCACAAACGTGTTTCCTTTTTCAAGACAGGCACTTTACCATGTGAACAATTCCTCCAGCACCAGAAACTTGATAAAAGCAGTGATTTCTAAGCACAGCATAAGATGCTCACGAGGGTGGTAAGAAGCAGGTGTCTGGTCTGGAAAGCGCAGGCCAGTTTGGCTCAACACAGTCAGTGCAAAGACTGGGGCAGATTCGCCCAAGGGGAAGAACCCTAGACTGGGGAACCGCTGAAGGGAATGGTACTTCGGTCTGCAGAACCTGGTAGCGATGCGGCTTCCTGTCACTCAAGCCTGAGGGGGCGGGGCCGGGGCTAGTAGCCAATCAGGAGCCGGGTCGTGCAGCGGCAGGAATGTGTCCAATGAAGAGCGCGGATCTTAGGAGGCAGCCTGCGCACGACGCCATCTGCCTCTGAGGTCGGGGCGTATTCGACGCCGGCGGCTGAGCTGGGAGACGCCACAGGTGTCCCAGCCTCTGCGGCTCTGTGTTCCCGCCACTGCCGGAGCCTTGGGAGGACACGGGATCGCCGTGAAATGGTGAGATTTCGGCCGAGTCGCGGAGCAGCGGCGGGAAAGCAGCCGGAAGGGGCGGTGGAGGGCGTGGCCTGCCGCTCCACCCTGGTGTGCGGTCAGCGTCTGCTGCTGGCTCCGCTTGGCCCCGCGTGTCCCCAAGGGCGCGGTGACGGCGGCCGCGGGGGCGCGCCGTGGGGTGGGGTCCCCGTGTCTCCTTGGTGGCTCCCGGTTTTCCGGAGTCTTCAGGGTCGGGGAGGGATCGTGGAGCTCCAGTACCTGTCCCCAGGCCGTGCTTCTGGGCGCTGGCCACGCACCCCCCCTCCCAAGTCCTCCGACATCGCCGACGCCCTGCAAAGGGCGGTCCCGTGCAAGGTGGCTGGTGGTGGAGGGGAGGGGACACCGCCACCCTCTGTGACGTCTCGGTTACCGAATTCCACTGTTACCAGACGTGGTTTTACAAGGGAAAAGCTGATGGGGAGACAGGAGTTTTTGCATGGGGTGTGGCTGCAGCTGTGTGTAGCCCAGGGCTGGTCAGAGTCTGGGAGCAACGGTTCTTGTCTCGCAGGAAAAAGGACTTGGGGTGGGGACACTGGGATTTCATCAACAACCATCATTAAAAGCAAGGCAGAGCTAGGAAGGGCAGTGCCTTACAACGTCCGTTCGGGACCACGGTGGCAGTTTGTGAGGCATTTCCTCTGTAAAGTCACAACTTTAGTTACATGGTAATGAAGTCTGTGCCTCACCTCTGTACAGACTTTTTGCAGAATTTATGCAGAACTGGGCCAAAAACCAAAAAAAGCAGGAGATGGACAATACTGAGTGACGCGATGTATTACAGTGAGGTTAAAAGCAGGGCGGGAACAGTGTAGACTCCAGGCCACTGGTGTTTGTCTCTCTTGGATGTTTTTCGTCGTTTTGCCTGTTGAAGCTGCTTCAGCTAAGCCTGCTTGTCACTGGCGGTAGTGTGGGTGGCAGCTGCTTCTACTGAGCCCATCTTGCCTAAAATCCTGTCCTGTGAAGAGCCCAAATGTTAGGTCCCTTAGCTCCTCTATGGTGAGGCTGAAAGGGCCGTTCTTTCTAGGGAGGAGGAAACAGGGTTAAAAGAAGGTGGTGGTGTGTGGGGCAAGCATCAATTCCTGGACCAGGGAACGTGGTCCTCTGAAGTTAGCCTGTCCTTAGGGTGGTGGTGTTAATGGCAGTGATGCAGTCTCTAATCAGATTTCCAAAGTCTTTGTGTTCCATGTGGAAGAATCCATGGCAGGTTACATGCAATGGAGTTTATTAGAAGTTCAGGAAAGGAATAACAAAAGGGGGCATTGTGAACCCCAGCTTGAAGCAGAGATTGAGAGTGCTTCTCTCTTCCATTGATTTTAATGGGAAGGGAAGAAACTGGTAATCTAACCACCAATAATCAATGAGTGGAGAGGGACATAGGTGGTCCCTGGGCCAGGTTGGGATGGTTTGA